CCGGAGCCGGGCGGCGGCAGCTCGCTTTGCTCTCGCATCCTCCCTCCCCGCCGCCCCGGAGAGAAAATGCCCCCTCTTCCCCGGCGCAGATTGGCACAAGGTGCCTGCTGCACCCTGACATCTCCCTGAACTCATTGTGATTTAAATAACAGCCCTTTCTCAGCGAAACAAAGCATCTTAATAGCAGATGCAAAGAATTCAGCTCATCTGAAAATCCAATAGCATTTAAGTGGATTAACTGCAATAACACAACTGAGGAGTGATACTATCCTTCATGGAAGACAATAGACTGTAAATGCACAGCCAGGGAGACTTATCCTTTCATCTCTGAATTTCCTTCAGCATTTCAAAAGCGAATGCTTTCTAGAAGCCCTGAAGGGGTTTGCACGCTACTGGCTTGGACATGCTTCTAGGAAACAACCTGTGCTTTAATGGGCACTTTGCAATTGCATAGAAGTTCCCACCAAAACAGAAGTGGCCTTTCAAGTACGTTTAATTCTCTCTCATGATGTCATGTAGGCTTACAGGGTGGTCTCCAGGACCACAAGGGGGGAAAAAAAAAGGTGGGGGTTGAAAAGAGAGAAAAGCAAAAGAGATGTAAAAGATTTGGAAGCACTTTAAAAAGGAGAATGCTTTTTTTTTTTTTTTCTTTAGAGACAGAAAATGCTGAGCCGGTGTGAAGCCATTCTCAGATGCCTCCTCATATAAAAATAATTTTAAAAAAAGATCCCAGTGCCACACTGCAGCAGACCCATCAGCACAGGCTGCACTGGCAAGCAGCAGGGCAAGCTGGAGGCAGACCAGGGCAGGTCATTCTGGTAGCTGCCATCGTTTTCTTACACAGGGGTTGACACCGCAGAAGTAAAAAGTGATGACTTCGGTTAAAAAAAATAAAAAAAAGTCTCGTCTGCACTTATCATTTGCTGGCATTAGAGAGACAATTCCTACGGTCTGTGTTGTCACAGGAATAAAATAAAATAATTACCAAACAATGAAATAGATTCTGACAGTACCGGCTCACCGAGCATTTGCTCCTCTCCTTCCTTCCTTCATTGGCCAACGTGTCTGGAATCAGGGGTGCTGGGTATCTGTCGCTCCTTCAAGTGGCATTCTGCTGCGAAAGCCAGCATCGCGGTAACTCCTACTTGATCTATCGGTAAAAAAGAAATTACGCCGGTTTGATTTTTCTTACGTTTCCCTCGTTTTATGAGAAACCTACTGCATCAGCATCTTTTTTAAATCTGTCACTGTGGGGCTCAGATAAGCATCTTTCCTCTGGGTCAAGTTACACTTGGAGCAGCTTTTAACATGAGGCTGTTATATGGATCATTGCAAATATTTGATAATAATGCAAAATATGTAAGATCCCAGAAGGGACCGGGGAACATAAATAAAATTCACACAGATTCTGCAAACAACTTCATACTTGGGTTGTCTGTCTGCTTACGAAACACATTTTCTCCTCGTCTGTTGTTTGATCTAAAGATGCATTTGTGCCGTGTACGTCCTTACAAGCGTGCAAAGATACGTCTGTGTGAAAAACATCGCACAAGTGCATCTTTACTTCAGCACGGCACCTTCCTCCGGCCCACAAGCCTATTAAACGTGCGTGCGCCAAACATGAAATAGCACCTTTTATGTAATACCTACAAACCGCACATGTGGAAAGAGCGGCAGGGCGGTATTTATAGGTTTAACATAAAATCAGGACAAAGAATGGAGCACCAGAAAATTAGGGTTTGCACTTTTTTATTTATCTGAGAGCAGTGAGCAAGATATCGCTTGTCTAATTTAAAGCGCGTACTGCTAGAAGCCCCTCAAATGTCAGGAATTGTAATGGAATTATACTATGACAGAGTGTTGAGAGGGAGGATTTCCAGGGTTTGCACAGCACTTGGCATGGGGGAAGGGATGCAAGAAGCTCCTCGACACAGAACAAAACTACTTCAGTGGCACCAGCGCGTTCTGCGGGCAGTGGCGCGTGAAGCCAGGGTGCCCCAAATCAGGCTTCCAGCACCCGCCACAAAGCTCATTTAAATCTCTGCTGGCTCAGTCGTTAGCAACACGGGTCAGGCCCTGTGGCGGGACCAACTCATGTTTCAGAGAAGCGTGCCGGGGCTGCGACGCGCGAGAGCCGCC